TTGAGCCCTCAGGTCTTCGCCGGGGACGAGGTCGCTGCGGGAGGAGGAGAGAAAATAAGTCTTAGTCTTTGATCGGTTTGTGTTTGGCTTAACGGACAGCTGCTTCGGTGAGTTGCTAGTTGAGTTTTTATTTAGTTATCTGAAAGGTCTTAAAAAGAAAAAGATAATTTATGAATATCTAAACTATCATCATATCATGTGTATGTGTGTGTGTGTGTGAGTAGGGGAGGGCTTCGTGAAGGTTTCAGTGTGTTACAGTGTGTATGCTTGTTTGTAATGAAGATTTTATAGTACTAAGTCTACATCAGAATAAAGGAAAAAACAAACAGAACCTGACAACAGGTCTATTGCGAAAGGTAAATGAACTTAAGAATAATTATAGTGATATAGAAGCCGAGACTAAATATTTATGATTGATTCTGTGGTTCAGGAAAGTGTCGTTAACCTTAGAACTGACATCATTAGTGTAACAACTGACGACACTGTTTAGAAACGGGATGTTAACCTTCAATTTATTTGTTTACGTTAGTTGGATAAACATTTATCCATTCGTGTTAGCTAGCTAATATGAATTAACACAAATGATCAATGAAGTTATCATTAAAGGCGAAGACATTAATACAAAATATAACATTATTATAATGGGGAGTGACGTCCTTATCTGTTAGAAGTTCCGTGATCTGACTCTGCATCTCGACGCTTGTATTTCGCTTCTGCGTCTGCATTCGGACTTGTGTCGGCGACTCACGACTCCTCCGCGTCCGGCCAAAGCCTGAGACAGCGCTGGACTCACCCCCCCCCCACAGCATCTGGCACTCACCCGACGAACTCCAGGATGGCGAGCTCCTCCTCCAGCATCTCCCGCTCCTCGGCTTCGGCGGCGGCCAGCTCGCACACCAGCCGCTTGCCGCAGCCGCTCTCGTCCTGCTCGGAGACGACCTCCAGCAGCCGGTTGTGGGCGTCTTCGTCCTCGCCCACATCGCGTTTAAATCTCGGGGAAAATCTACCACCTCCTCGACGCCCACCACGTCCGCGCCCACGTCCACCTCCTCTTCCACGCCCACCACGTCCTCGTCCACGCCCACCTCGTATTCTATCAAGTTCCAGGTTGATCGTGGTGGAGGCGGAGGCAGCGGCCGAGCTTCGCACCGCCCGAGCCCGCACTGGCAGCGGAGGCGGAAGCAGAGGCACTGATACTAAGTGATGCCATGGTGACCTCGATAAGAATTTTCAGATTTCAGAAAAGGGTGGAAATAGTTGATGAAAAGGTGAATCAGTTTCATTGTGAATTAGTTAATATGATGAACTAGAAATGATAAATCACAAAAAATATGAAAAAGGGTCTCCATGCCACTGAAGAGAGACTTCATTAATAATGTTATAACATACGCAGACACACAGTAGGCAAAGAAATGATCGAATAATCATTTAAGCTGCTTATTAAACTTTATTAAGCTCGGAATTAAACACAAATTTATGATGCAAAGTTTCTGTTGTATTCCCTTTAAAAGAAGAATTAAACGTCGAATGTGCATAAATCTACAATTAGTTTCATAAAGATTTCTGCGTAGCCCAAAGAAATAAACTATATTTCCCTTGAGACGGATTCATTCAGCAACACTCTCTTGCCGAAGGAACTAGGGAATGTAAGTGGTCGCTTCCAAGCAGACGAAGTCCAGCGAAGGAAGTCAAGTAGGGGCACTTAAGGAAAAGATCTGGACAAGGAATTTTTAACAGAGAAACCAAAATAAATAATAACAGAAATATAGGAACCCAAATGATGAAAAATGAGCGAAGGAACTACAGTATATCTCATTCACTCAAACGAAAGAAAGGAGAGAAGGGAACACCATAAGAAACGTAGTTGGACTTCAGAATTCCCGTCACAGGAATTCAAACAAAGAAACAGAAATGAGAGACTTCAGATGAACTGAGAAGAGGAAGTCAAATGAGGAACCTATACAGTGAACCCTCGTTTTTCGCGGGGGTTACGTTCCAAAAAGAACCCGTGATAGGCGAAATCCGTGAAGTAGTAACCTTTATTTTTTTTACAATTATATACAATGAAATACTCTACACATTGAAACCAAAGAACAGAACATTTTTACAGGCCCTTTTACTTGTTTAACAAATAAAAGTATTGTTTTTTACAAATAACTACTGTACTGTAAAATGATAATTTTAATCATCATTACGAACAGAAGGCTTCATGTTTTTTTTTGTTTTTTGGCAAGCTGTTTTACGTACATGTACATATTAAACCGTAACGTTATTGACACACAGGTAGAGAAGAAGCGCAGAGACTGTTTAGCCAATCAGAATGCAGAACACAATGCACAATGCAAATCCGTGAAGCAGCGAGAACGTGAAAGGTGAACCGCGTTATAGCGAGGGTTCACTGCACAACCATAAGCACAGAGGCCCATCTAAACGAATTCAAAAAGTGAGCTTAAAGGAAGAATAACAAGCCAAGGACCTCACTGGATGTAATTAACAATAACATGTTTTTCTTACGCAAATAACTGACTTTCTATCTTATTCTTTCTTAAGGTGCTGTCACGCTAGCACTTTTTCCGCCATTATTTTTTTACAATTTTCTGAAATTTTGTCGATTTTTGAGCGAATTGTCGATTCTCCAGTCAGACGATAATGATCGTTTCCGTCTGACAACTTTTCCGTCAACTTTTTCAGCCAAGCAAAGTCAAATCAAGAGCTATATTCGAGATTGTTTGTATTTATGTAAAATAAAATTGTCAAAAATTTGACGGAAAAATGACCTGCACTGACACGTTTGGTGGTATAAATCCCGATTTTTTTTTTCAGTGAGGGTCTTTATGTAGCTTACAATAATGATAATAATAATGGTACAGAAAGTAACCTTCTGAAGGAAAATAAATTCTCTGGAAGAATTCAAACAGAAAATAAATCCTTAGAGGGAATCAAAATAAAATAAAAAATCATTAGAGAGAATTCAAATAGAAGAAATACCCTTGGAGAGAAATTCAAACAGAAAATAAATCCTTAGAGGGAATTCAAATAAAAAAAACCAGAGGAAATTCAAATAGAAATATCAATGGGGAGAATTCAAGCAAAATAGATCCTTAGGAAATCAAACGCAAGATAAATCCTTGGGGGAATTCAAACAGAAGATAAATCCTGGAGGGAACTCACACACAAAATAAATCCTTGGAGGGAATTCAAACAAAATAAATCCTTGGAGGAATTCAAACAGAAAATAAATCCCTGGAGGGAATTCAAACAGAAAATAAATCCTTGGAGGGAACACACAGAAATAAATCCTTGGAGAGAATTCAAACAGAAATTAATCATTGGAAGGAATTCAAACAGGAAAATTAATCCTTGAGGGAATTCAAACAAAATAAATCCTTTTAGGGAATTCACACACAAAATAAATCCTTGGAGGGAATTCAAAACAGAAAATAAATCCTTGGAGGGAATTCAAACAGAAAAATATAATCCTTGGAGGGAATTCAAACAGAAAATTAATCCTTGGAGGGAATTCAAACAGAAAATAATCCTTGGAGGGAATTCAACAGAAAATAAATCCTTGGAGGGAATTCAAACAGAAAATATAATCCTTGGAGAGAATTCAAACAGAAAATTAATCCTTGGAGAGAATTCAAACAGAAAATTAATCCTTGGAGAGAATTCAAACAGAAAATTAATCCTTGGAGAGAATTCAAACAGAAAATTAATCCTTGGACGAGAATTCAAACAAAATTAATCCTTGGAGAAATTCAAACAGAAAATTAATCCTTGAGAGAATTCAAACAGAAAATTAATCCTTGGAGAGAATTCAAACAGAAAATTAATCCTTGGAGAGAATTCAAACAGAAAATTAATCCTTGGAGAGAATTCAAACAGAAAATTAATCCTTGGAGAGAATTCAAACAGAAAATTAACCTTGGAGAGAATTCAAACAGAAATTAATCCTTGGAGAGAATTCAAACAGAAAATTAATCCTTGGAGCGAATTCAAACAAACTAAATCCTTGGAGGGAAATCACACACAAAATAAATCCTTGGAGGGAAATTCAAACAAAATAATTCCTTGGAGGAATTTCACGCAAAAAAAAATATCCTTGGAGGGAATTCACACAAAATAAATCCATGTTAGGAATCCACACAGAAATTAAATCCTTTTAGGGAATTCACACACAAAATAAATCCTTGGAGGAATTCAAACAGAAGATAAATCCTCGAGAGTATTCAGACAGAAAATAAATCCTTGGGAGAAAATTCAAACAAATCCTAGAGGGAATTCACAACAGAAAATTAAAATCTTGGAGGGAATTCAAACAGGAATTCACACAGAAATTAAATCCTTGGAGAGAATTCAACAGGAATTCACACAGAAATTAAATCCTTGAGGGAATTCAAATAGGAATTCACACAGAAATTAAATCCTTGGAGGGATTTCAAATAGAATTCACACAGAAAATAAATCCTTGGAGGGAATTCAAACTGAAGATCAATCCTTGAAGGCGAAGGAATCCCAGCAGAGGACGCGGAGGCAGGGAGGACCTACCTGCAGAAGAGGAGCCAAGCGGGGACTTCGTGCACTGTCGACGCTTAACCCGCTCTCGTTGCTTTTATGTGCTTTGGGCGGCCTGTCTGGTACGTCACCACGCCCCTTTCTCCTCCTCCCTGTCCCTCTCTTTATCCTTCTCTCTTCTTTTTCCTCCCCTGTCTCTCTCCTCTTTCTACTTCCTCTTTCTTCCTCTCTCTCCTTCTCTTTCTCCTTTGCTTTATTTCGACTTCTCTCCCGCTCGCTCCTACGCTCTCTATTCTTTGCTTCCGCCTCTCTCCCTTTCTCTCTCTATCTCTCACCCTCTCAACCTCTTGCTTCCCCTTTCCTATATTCGTTCTCTTTTCCAGTTCTTCCTCTCTCGTTTCTTTTCTCTCTTCTCGTCTCTTATCTTTCTCTATCTCTGTCTCTTGCCTTCGTCTACCGCGCTCACTCACTTTTATTTTCCTATTTCGCTGTCCCTCTCTCGCTTTAGGCTCTCCTAAAGTTATAAATATTTTTCTCTCACATCGCTTTTGTTTCCAGAACAAAATTTGCCAAGAGCTTTCATATATATACTTACACATATAAATGTATATTTATATATTATGTGTAGTGTGTGTTGTGTATTGTATATAATCATATGCATTTGATATTATTTATATTTATTATATAAATATTATAATATATAATATATTATATATATATATAGATATATATATATATATATATATTATATATATATATATTATATATATTTGTGTGTGTATGTGTGTGTAGCTTGGTCCTTCACACAGGTAAGGACCTCTACAGATAACATCGTTGACATAGTTCATGGTACCTGTGGCCAGGCCGGTCCATCTACTTACTCCCTGGACTGACAGCCTAGAGTCATGAACTACTCTACTGAGGTATGCGAAGCTCTCTGTGACTTCAGTGTCCTCGTCACAAACAGGTCCTGACTGAACAAGATCTCTTAAAAGGCCAAAAAATATATCTGGATCTTGGCCTCGCTCCAAAAGACTTCTAGTCCTAAGGGTTGTGTCTCCTTGCTCTATGCATCTAGAGCCGTCACTGGGCTTTCCATTGACTCAGATAGGACAGTACCATCATCAACCGAGTCGAGATCGGTGGCCTTGATATTTCCCAGCGTTACTCCACGATCAAAGCCTTGCCTCACGCCGAGATGGACAGGAATGAAGCAGACAGGAGCCCATACACTGCATCGCTTCCAGTACAGTATGCAGGCTTGCATAATCGCCCGCTGTGTTTTTCCCTGGCTCAGGCAGACAGACTTCTTTGCCACGGATGCAGGCAAGACAAGTACCCCCCCCCCCTACTCCCATCGCCTTGCCAGTTCTCTCCTGACGGGACACAGAACCCGTTCGCTTGTAGGGTGGGAAGGGGAATACCCGCCCCCCCAGTCAGCATCACCTTTCATAAAAAGCACTGCGGTGTTTTTTTTCCTTTAGGAAGTGGATTGGTAAGGATTCCTCCCCTATGTGTATGGTGTGTCTATATATACATACATATATATATATATATATAATATATATATATATTATATATATAATATATATATATATGTTTACATATATATATATATAATATATATTATATATATTGTGTGTGGTGTGTGTGTGTGTGTGTATGCATGTTTCTATGTACATACACACACACACAGATATATTATATAATATATATATACTATATATATATATATATTATATATATATATATGTGTGTGTGTGTGTGTGTGTGTGTGTGTGGTGTATATTATATATATGTATGTATATAATATATATATATATATATATATATATATATAAATATATATATATATAATATATATATATGTATGTATATATATGTATTATATAATGTATATATATATACATATATATATAATAATATATATATATGTGTGTGTGTGTGTGTGTGTATGTGTGTGTGTGTGTATGTATGTATGTATGTATGTATGTATGCACACACACACACACACACACACACACACACACACACACACACAACACACACACACACAACACACACACTATATATATATATATATTATATATATATATATATATATATAATATATATATATATACATACATATAGTATTCAGCCCTCAACCAGTATGTGACTATGCATATGCTGAAAACATCTCAAAATTGTGAATTGATCACGTCTGATATTGGCAAATTTAAGCAAAAAAAAAAAAAATAGGATTTGCAGATCAGAAATTTTATTAAGTTTATTCAGAAGTTATACAATCTTTAATTAATCTTGAAGGAAATTACAGAGCAAAAGATTTTTTCAACAGCAAGTTTTTAACAAGTGGAAATACACGAGACAAAAAGGCGAAAGTATAGTTCAGATGAAATAAGGATGTGAGTGGACAGTTCGCGGAGATAGTAAGGAAGGAAGGAACAGCGTCCTGCGCTAGAATTCAGGGCTGTGTAGTCTCTTCCATTCTGAGTTAAATTCTCTCTCTCTCTCCTTTTCTATCTATCTATCTATGTTCTCTCTCTTCTCCTCTCTCTCTCTCTCTCTCTCTCTCTCATCTCTTCTCTTCTCTCTTTATCAATCTATCTATCCATGTATCTCTTTTCTCTCTATCTATCTATCTCTCTTATTCCTACTGGTATTCACCCTCCCATCTGCACATGCACAGGCCCTGCACAAAGCCAGACAGCTGCCTGTACAGCGGTGCACTAACGGCTTCTCTAGGACAGGTAAGCCAGCACTGACGTCATGATCTCCGTGCCGTTGTAGATGCACGACGGGTACAGCAGACCGCAGTCGCGCCCTTCCATGCCCTGCGCCTTGGCGAGCTTGTAGTCCAGGGCCGCCCCTTGAGCCCTCAGGTCTTCGCCGGGGACGAGGTCGCTGCGGGAGGAGGAGGAGAGAAATATGTCTTAGTCTTTGATCGGTTTGTTTGGCTTGACGGACAGCTGCGTCGGTGAGCTG